GGAAACACATATTTATTCGATAAACACAAGCAATTATACATAATGAGATAAAATGATTCAATGTTACTTCTATGCGTTGTTTCGCGTCAGAGCGCGCGCAACATGTGCATTTGCATGTGTAATAGCATTTCCACGTGCACGTTATAACGTGATTAAATGTACCATTAATTATCAAATATCTTATATATATATTTTGGTTATTCTATTTCAAAGAGAAACATCCTATCTCAAAATGAAACTTAAAACTATCATATTTTATTTCTTTTTTGTCGCTTATACATAACAGCTATTTTCAATAATTCTTCTTTTAATTAATATCTGTATCCAATTTAAAAATACTCGCGTATATCTACACGTGCGTGTATACACATCTACATATTCATATACATGCTCATGATGTGCATACATAAATAAGCACAATGTGAACACACACACACACACACACACACACACACACACGCCAACATATAGCAAAAGATATAATGACAGAGAGTGACGGAATGTTTGCAACACACATCGCACAATATTCTCAAAACCCATAACCACATAATAACCCTATGGGAATGTTACTTGATCTCTGTAACTAAATTTGTTTGGTACTGGAATAGTTGTACGACCAAATATTAAATTTTGATACAGAAATATGGTAGATTGATGAATGTTATTGCGTTGCTTTAAAAAGTACAATCTCAATCTCTCATGTTAGAGAACCTGTTTTTAAATGTCATAACCAAGGTCAATCAAATCTACCTTTATCTATAATATTATTCAGTAATTAATCAGAGATAATAATTTATGCGAGTCGGATGCATATTTATTTCCTTATTATCTCTATTTTACTTTAATATTTTATACAACTTACATACATATTTACATACATACTTTTATACAAGTAATCGGATAAATAGATTCGCATAAAATATAAATATTTATTTTTACAAAGATTATGTAAGTTGCATTGTATTTTTTATCTAATTATTTATCTGTTTCATCTATAATTCTGTGTATAATCGTATTAAACAAAGATAACAAATTTTATATTTAAAAATATCAGACTAAAGTTTAAAAATTATTTCAACTTTGTTTTCCTTATTCCTTCTGGTATCTTCTTTTGACACAAAATATTGTTAGGAATTAATTTATATAAAAAAATTTAGGCACTTTATTTTCTAAAAAATGATGCAGCCGCAGAAATGCTTTAACCAAAAGAGCCTGAATAAAAAAATAATAATACTACAGATAGTTGATATTTGCACATTTCATACATTACTTAAATATTAAACTATTCAAATTATTACCTTTTTTTATCATCAATTGTATACTCGAGAATATCTCAACAGTCATCGTAAGTCACCTTATACATATAATTGTATAATTGTTATAATATTTTATTATATAATTTATTATATAATAATTTTAATAATTTTTAAATTATTATAATCCATATTATGTTTCTTACATTTATAATTAAGCATATAAAATTATAAATATATTTTTAAAAAAGTAAAAAATAACGTCCCAAAAATACACGCGCAATGTTTGTAAAAAATTATTATTTAATGCAACAAGTTTATTTACAAATATTATTTTTATTGCAAAATAATATTCTAAGAAAGTATTATTCGATTTCAATCTAAAATTTATATATAAATTTTTATATCGTAATTAAATTGTAATTAAATTTTATTAATGAATTAAATTTTTATATTGAAAAAATGATTTGCGTAATACATCGTATAAAAGATTTGTTACAACATTGACAACAACTTTTGACAACAAATCAAGGATTCAAAAGACTGACGTCAACTCATAGTTGGTAGCAAAATCTAGAATAATTATTGGCCTTACATATGATATAATTGCACTATTATATCGCAAAATATAACGTTTTAAAGTTCTAAATTGCTGGAAGTGATTTTAAGATAAAATTAAAATATAAAAACTTGGCGGATCGTATTAATTGTATCATAATACATTGTTATAACATAACTTGTATATTGATATAAAATAAATGTATTTTACAAGTTAAAATATTCCTATTTCCAGAAATCTATTTCCAAAAGTACGGAAAAATTTTGATTATAATTTATAAAAGAGAAATTTATAAAAGAAG